TGAAAGCATATAACATTGTCTGATTTGTATTGTAAAGACTGAGTAAATTTTAAATATTTTCTAGGCAATACTTACTGCTAAAGGTACACAAAACCATAACCTCATGGAAAATTATGGGAAAATATCAATAACTTATTGAGTCTGTGTTCTTTCTCTTCTTTTAAACTGGTTGTTGAGAACTAGGAAGTGCAGGAAAAGAATTGTTTGCAGTTCTATTTTCCTGAGACAAAGTATCTTCTGTGTAACAGATTATTTTTATAACATCTGTATGTGTGTATATATATATATAATAACCAAACGTCTGTCTGTCACATTTTGTATCTCCTGAACGGTTAATCGTAGAAAAAAAATATGTCTATCAAAGTGCTTCTTTTCAAGACTACGTTACAGAAAAATTATTTATTTTTATGCAGTTCCTAAAATTTCATATCGATATTAAGATCGATCCGTCAGTCTTCGTATGTGTCGCCCCCCAGTGGCACAGCGGTATGTCTGCGGGACTTAGAACGCTAGAATCCGGGTTTCGATACCCGTGGTGGACAGAACACAGATAGTCCTTGTGTAGCTTTGTACATAATTAAAAACAAACAAAAACAATCGTATGTGTTGAACGGTAAATCTGAGTAACACATTTATTAGGAACAAAACTGTTTCTTTTACTGAAAAAAATAACAAAAAATTAGACTTCTTCCGTCGACTTATTGACAGAAATATTTCGAAAATAAGAGCATAAACAGAAAAAGTACATAAAGAGAGGAACGTATTTGAGTGTATATTTTTTGTAGTTCAGTTTATATATGTATATATTTTTTCATATCATGTCGGTATTATGTACATGCACGTTTTTATTGTACCATGTAAAATAAATTGATTTGAATTGAATTGAACATCTGACCTTTGATACCTCTTTTCGTAAATGTCAAAAAATGCTCACTTCTGAAGCGAACTTTTCTTGCGTTCAGTAAAAAAGGAAAGATGGCATCCAGAGGAAAAACATTCCGCGACTTCTTAGCGAATCTGAGCGTTCTATAGTGCTGAATTCACCCATTGCATCAAACCCCAAAATTTTTGTCAACAATGCATTGCCGTCAGTCTCCTTTGCTTAAAAACAAAGGCAATATAATTTTCTTTATTGAAATAAGACATGGAATGATAAAATGCGGTTATAAACGGTCTACTAGACAATCATATTGCATATACGCTAGGCATTAGGTTGACTGCATATTTCGTATTTATTCATCACTTATTTTATGAAATTTTGCGTTGAATTGTTTCAATGGGCACCTACTAGTAAGCACATAAAAGCTAAAACTGATTTATGATTATTCATTTTTACTTCCTTGTGTTCTCTGGTGTTTACAGCGTATACTTCCAAAACATAAGTCTCACGTGAACTTAAGACTATTTATATAATCACTGAGCAGAGTTACAGTTTATTTGACTGAGTAGCAAAATACAATTGAATTGCTATGCATAAGCCTATCGTTTTTAAGAGGCCGAGGAAACATTCAAGATAACTTCAGTAGTTATATTATTATTATGCGCTGCAGTCTGAACAACAACACAAATTAAAATATAGTAGACTTTGTTCTGTACCAATGTTGTTACGTATTGCGAATTTGAAATAGTCCGAAGCCGATAGTTTAGTTAATTTACGCTATTAGCCAACAAGTTTGACACACATCATTTTCGTTTTTCACACAAATACGTTTTAATATATATATACAGTACAACAGTACAATTTACAACAACAATTATTACGAATAATTATCACAAACAAAGTTTTATAAAACAAAAATGTCACTAACTTACAAACAACATTGAATCTTCTTTCTAGTTCAGAGTCTCCTTGATATCCAGCGAGTTAACTTGAAGTCGATGTACGTATAACTGCCGAGAAGCTAGCTTGCTTTGTCAGACACTAAATTGTTGGACCGTCGAAGTAAGATAATATTTTCATAAAACCACTAATGTTCGATGAGAATCCAGTAATATTATCGGAAAGATACTAACTTCCTTATCAAATGTCGTAAATTTTCCGGTTGATAAGGGTTAGCAAAATCACGATTTATAGCGTACATGGTTATAGCAGGTTCCTAGCCAACTTTTTAAGCTCTGTCTATTTTGGCGCGTCGCCTTGGCTGTTTTTAGAGACACGGGAAAGGTTTTTCTCGAAAGTTCGGACAACAATACTGAACTATATTTAACCGGTTACGGAAGTGGATATATTGTCGATTCTTACGTTCACGAATATTCTACAACCTTGGAGAATTGGCGGGAGTTTCGAAGTACGTAATTAACACTGTAAGCTAGGCACGTTTTTAAATATAAACTCAATCCAAACAAACGTTGTCATTAAAGTAAATATATAACAAATTCGTTACATGCAATACATATC